GGTAGGTGATTTGAGCAGGCAGTGCCGATATACCATCAGTCTACCAGATAACCATCAATAGATTCAGAATCCATTAGTAGCATAGGTTCATCACCAGACTCTCCTTTGGCTATGTTTGCTTCTTCTAATTTCCTTTCCTTGTTTGACCAATAGTCAGCATCAAAGTGACAAAACGTCTTACAACAGTAACATTGAACATTCTTCTTGTCAAACTTCTCTTTTCCCTTTTGATGTTTATTCTCATCAGAGTTGGAGACTTCTGACTTCTGATAACCACCACCATGTCTCTTATTAGCTTCTGACCAAGATTGCTTCTAAATCTTCTTACCAGAAGACGCCTTCAGAGCATGCTCTACCTCTTTTAGAGGTTTTCTCAATCAGACGCAACTCTTGTGCCTCTAGACTGCTTTGTAGCTCTTCAATTCTCATGGTGCTCAGATCCTTAGAATGTTTAATTTCTATAATAATGTAATCAAATTGAGGAGTAAGGGATCTCAGTACATTTTTAATTATATTTGTTTAGAGAGAGTCTCTCCATAAGATTTCATCTCATTCGTGATGAGATTCACTCTAGAGATGTAATCAGTTACCTTCTCATTGTTCTTCATGTTGAGATTCTCATACTGCTTACGTAGAGACTGAAGTTTCACCTTCTTCACTTATGCATCACCGTCGTAGCACCGTACTAGTGTGTCCCACACACTCTTTGTCGTCGTCGAATCAACGATCTTCTTAAACATATTCACATGCACACATTGATGGATGTGGAACAAAGATTTCTAATCCTTCTTGATCATCTCTCTATACGTGTTTTTTGTGCTTCAATTGTATCTGCTGCAACCATTGTGTAACCGCCATTGACGAGATCAAGAACATCATGAGCGTTAGACAACACACACATATGAATCATCATTTGATTCAAATTCTTTCCATCAAAGTCTGGAAGCTTTTTGTTCAAGCCACCGTTTCCATCATTCATCTTCGATCTTGTGCAGAAATTCACTCAGATCTCACCAAACACTTGTGTTTCTCAATCACGCGGAATCAAGAAATGCAATTTTGTTAGGATTTCGATCGTAAATTCAATGCGAATTCAAGAAACAAAACCAATGTGTTTCTCGTGGATCCGAACCAGAGCTCTAAATATCAATTATCGGTGCACAAGATGAAGATAAAGAAGATGACCATGAAAAGAAAGAGAAGTTTCTATAATAAACTTGATCTCTACAATTAAATTATACAATCTACTTATACTTCTAATAAGCGACATCCTTATTTTTCAATAAATATAAATCTATTTTTAAAAAATTTACGTCTGTGTATATGATAATTAAACGACATCATTATCAAAAATGATAAAGATAAATATATTATTTAAATATTTATTTTGCAGGCCTGCTTGATTGAATTTCAAACTTGGATGAAAAATAAGTTAGATATATTGATATATATAGTCTCACTAGGATCATATTCAATTAACATAATTGTATTAATTTAATACAATGTTTCAGCCATAAAAGTAATATTATAATATATATTTTGACAACACTCGTTAAATATGATATCTCACAAATATCTTTTGATTCTATCAAATACTCAAGATTTATACATCACAGCTAAGATTTTTTCTAAATACTAGTATTTCAATCTCAGTTATTTCTCTCATTCATACATATTCATACATATGTATCTTCGAAAATACTTAATTTGTTGTTAATAAAATAATTAAATAATATCTTATAATAAAATAAAATATCTCAAATCATTTTATATATATATATATATATATATATATATATATATATATATATATATATATATATATAAATATATATATATATATATATATATATATATATATATATATATATATATATATATATATATATATATATATATATATATATATATATATATATATATATATATATATATATATATATATATATATAAGGAACAAATTTTTTAATGTTAGGTAAAAAAACCATCCAAATAAATAAATAAGTAATCAAAGAGCAACGCATAACATTAAACTAATATTATTATTTTTTTAGCAATTCATATGATATTTTCATTTTTTTTTTCAGTAACAAATTTGATATAAAATAAACAAATAAATCATATCTCGAGACAATCATATAAAATTCATTTTATTGTTTTTAATCTAAAGTAGAAGAAATTTTTTAATCTAAATTAAAGAGTTTTAGTTTTTTCCGTAAGAATAAAACAACTTAATTAAATTGAACTTTATATTCTTATAATTTATCTCGCAAAACATGAAACAAAATAATACAAAATATGAAACAACAATTTAAATAAGAAACTTAATTTTCAATAATCATTCAAGCTAAAAATTTATTATAGACAAACATAAAAATACATACTATATTATTAGTAATAAATAACACTAAAACCGTAAGATTCACAACAATACAACATGAGTTTGAAAATATAAAACCTTAAAGTTAAACAATATCAACCATAAAAAAGCATAAATCCTTAAGATTGTTGTAGAATTTGGCCATCAATATAACTTGATCAAATCTTCTCCTAATCACAAATATTTATCATATTTATCTGTCTTATATATAAGTATAAATTCTCTAAGATTTAACATGTTTTTTCAAATTTTTGTTATGAATTTGACATATCAGAACAACAAGAAATACTCTTTTTAGACGACTAAAAGATGTAACAAGAAGGAAAAAAAATTAAAAAAGAAAATGAAATATAATAGAGATTTTGTCAAATAAATTAACACATTAAGTGTTTTTCATTTTTCTACTATGTATAAAAGTAGGAGAACCGGTATATAAGTAAGAGAGAAACGAATTTATTGATTTTTACTAAGTCAAATCAACATTAAAATAAAATAGTTATTGATCAAATTAAATTTTTTTATAAACTATAAATGAATTAAATAATAATAATAATAATAATAATAATAATAATAATAATAATAATAATAATAATAATAATAATAATAATAATAATAATAATAATTTTTTTAAAAATATTTTTTCATATTTGACACTTAAAAATTAAAACTAAACTTGTTAAATTTTTTGAAATATAATCAAAATATACAACACATTAAAGATTCTATTCTAGATGGAACAAGTCTTGTCACCTCACCTCTATAAATAAAAAAGTATTATCAACATAAAACCTAATAAAACCTAATCATCCGATTATAATTTTTAAACAGTTGATCATAGCCCCGGTATTGTCTGTCGTAATAGGTCTTTTACGTAAACGAGTATCATTTCATGTGCTATTTTGTGTAATTTTAATTTTAACTATTTAGTGGCGGGTTACAAATTTTCAATAACTATTTTTGTGACAGTTTAAAACCGATGCTAAAAAATTGAAAAAAAGTTAAAATTTTGCGTCGGTTAAAAATCACCGCTAAATAGTTAAATATTAGGAAAAAATAAACTAATATTTATCGACAATTTAAAAGTGCATTTATATAATTAAAATTGAGAAATTTTTACCCATATAACCATGTTTTCATATAATATTATCTAAAATATCCACCTTTTCAACAAATTTCTCAAAGTATTCAACTTTAAATAAATAAATAAATAAAATGTACCACGTAATGGGAGGCGTCAATAAGACTGACTTCCCCTCTAAAATCGAAAGAGGGGACACCAATAAAGGTGAAGTCTCCTTTATAATTTAGGAGGGGGCGTCAGTAGCCCTGGAGTCTCCTTTAAAATTAAAGAGGGGCGCCAATAGCTCTGGAGTCACATCTTAAATTTTAAAGGGAGATACAACAACATTTGAGTCACCTTAAACGTGATAAAATATTTAATTTTTAATATTTGATATACTATATAATATTATAGTCTTTATTAATATTTTATTACAATTATTTTTTGTATAAATAGATATCATAACTTGCATATTCTTTCACACTTAAATTGTCATTTGTTTTTTACAATTTTAGCAGATTCAATAGTGTATCTTAGAAGATATGGGCATGTCATTTTTTCAAGAATCAAGTCTCTGATAAGGATGTTATTTTGGAACATCCAGAGTTTATAGGAACTACTAAGGAATTTGAATCGTTGGTTAGAAGGAGGCATTTCATATGGTGAAAGAATTAGAAGTATTGAAAGACTTGTTTCGTACTTCTCAATTGTAGATGGAAATATACAACGTGAGTGGGTGCAAATTAAAGATGACAACAACGTTAGGGCTATGGTGTTTGGAGTTGATGATATTGTTTTGATTGTTGTTATATCTTAGTTGTGTAATATTAATCTCTATATTATTAATGGTTTGTGTTGTTGTTTTGGAAGTATTTTAGTTTGTTTTCTTGTAACCAGAAGTTGTTATAAATATTAAATTCGAATGTTACAACTTTTTTAATAACATAACTAAATCTATCTAGAACTTGTTCCAACATTGGTACAACATTTTCTTGTATGCCCGAGAAGTCGACATATTCCACACAATCTTTCCATTTTCTCAGTTGTATCCATTTTGGTTCTAATTCTCGTGCTTTTGGGGGGACCCTTTTTGTTTCTTCTCATGTGTTCATTGTGGTAAATTGTGTCTCCATGATAGGTTGACCAATAGTCCTCACTAGCTACCACTGGAAAGCTATTATTGTAATACCGAATAATTTCACGACCTTGTAAACTTCTGATAGTTGCAAGAATGGATCCTGACGAACACTAGAACATGCCACAATGACATGTGAGCAAGGCATACGGAAGGTTTGAAACTTTCCGCAGTCGCACCAAATTTTATGAATTTCCACCCTGTAGTATCCCATTGACCGGTCCTCATTGTGATCCTTTGTCTCATCAACAATGAAGCTTTAATCGAGACATCCAAATGCTTTAACTCGATGTGAGGTTTCTTTAACAGTTTCTTCCTTCATATATTTCATGCAAGTTTTGTTGAATAATTGCGACGATTCCAAAACAGTGCTCCTTTTTTTGCCTTTTGTCGCAAATAGTGATAGAACATCAATTGTTACATATATGTTGCAGGTCTCGTCAATAAAGAACAGACATACTACGCTTTCAAAGTTTCATATATGCTGCAAAAGTGGAAAGGTGGTCCTGCCAGAAATGAAGACGTCACCTCCACTGTTACATCAACTGCTCTATGATAGAACATCGAAACATAGTAAAAATTTCCAGGTTAACATTAGAACTTACAACGCTATGTTCTCTTTCACTTCTCCCGGTACGAAATTTTACACAACTTACTCCAAAGTGGTGGGTCCTCCTACGTTGCGACTTCATGGTCAAACTTGTCACAGAATCAGAACGATGCTCCCTGAAATCGGTGAACCTCCTCAGTATGCCCAACTATATATTTTTTACACGAATAATGAGGTCGAAAACAGATTATATTGTTTTAGGTGAATCGTCGTGAATTCCATGTTATTTTATAAATGTGTTGTGCCAACTAACCACATTTGGAATGTGTTTTTCTAACTTTACTATTATTTTGATTCTGTAGGGATAATAAAAAGCTTGAAAAGGATATAATAACCAGCTTGAAATAGATGTTGGACGAGAGCAATGTTCATGCAAAAGCATGTAGAATGGCAAGGGATGTTTTGAAGGAGAGTACCTTTGATGATTTAAAGTTGAAGCTTATTTCAAGTAGGTCGGGTGACGGTCGTGTGTATAACACGCCCACAATTTCAAAAGTGGCTGCTCTAATTGTCAGTGATATAGACTCTACTAAACTGAGGGACATCATAATCCATGAGCGTGATGGTGGATTACAGAGGATCGAGGAGTTTCACCCGACTTATCTTGGTTACCAATACCCATTGATTTTTACGTATGGGGAAGATGGTTACAGAGAGAATATACTTCACAGGTACAAACATGAACAAACAGTCACTAAGCAGAACCATCAAACCACTAAGGATTGGTTATGCTTCCGACTACAAGAACACATTGTTGAACCTACAAATTTACTTCATGCAAGGCGTCTCTTCCAGCAATTTTCTGTTGACAACTACAGTATGATAGAGACCGAGTGTCTTAATTGGTTGCGGAGAAAACAATCTAAATTGAGAGTTGGAAAGTATAGCAACTTACAACAACAAGATGGTGTCGGTACTTCGCAACAAGGTAACAAGCAAGGAAAGCATGTCATTTGCCTTCTACATTTGTCGGGAGAAAAAGGTACATGAACCAACTATATTTTGACGACATGGAAATTTCAAGTAAATTGGGTTTTCCTGAACTTTTTATAACTTTTACCTGCAACCCAAATTGGCCTGAAATCAAATGATATTTGGATCCCAAAAATTTACATGCACATGACCGTCCTGATATTGTAGCAAAAGTCTTCAAAATCAAATTCAACCAACTGATGCGTGATATAACAAATAACTATGTCCTTGGACGTGTTTTGGCATGTAAGTCAACTATATTAAATTTATTCCTATAACGTGTATGTAATACCCCAAATTTTACCCTCAGATTAGTCGATTCATGCGCATGTCATCTCATTTTCGCATCAACTAACCGCTAACAGGTTACGTAGTTTATTGTTTTTGCAGGAGAAGCGCATCAGGCGCACTTTAATTGTGGAAGGGAGAAATGGTCATTTACACATTGTGTACTAACAGTCCTGGAAGCTGAGTTATCATCAGGGATTTATTGAATAATTAGAGCCTCCGTTTCCGAGTACCTTATTTTCTTTGAAGATAAACAGAGATTCACGGTAATTTTTGGCATCAGGGTTTTCGAGATACAGTAATTAATTCAACGGGCCGAGGTTTTGTCGTCAGTGGATTTCTGAGACATTTATTTTATCATATAGGTTTGATGATGTTGAGATATCAATTTGGTTCGGCTCAAATCAGTGCAAGAATCCGTTCTGCGGAATTTGGTTTCAACAGGCATCTATTTTTTGTTCTTCTGCTATCTACCATTTAAATTCTTAAAAGGAAAACAGTATAAACTTCGGCTCAAGTATGGATTTATGATATCTATTTAACTGCAATTTTTGGCCGAGTTGGTTCATAGCATGGGATTTAGCCATCGAAGATTAAATGGAATTTTTGGTGCGAAGTATAGTTTTGTCTTCGCCGTTAATTGGATTGTCTCTGTTTCTACTGTTTTATTCTGTTCCAAGTCACCATTGATTCTATCGTCAAAATGGCGACTTAATTTAGGGAATAACGGGTTGGAATTAAAGGTCATGTCGATTTTAAATGGAACAACACGTTTTGGGACGACAGAGTTGATTTGGATAATTTTATAGGATTTATACGTATGTGATCGCGACTTTCTATGTCTAACTGAATTAACTGCAAGTGCACAGTCTATCGCGTAGTAATAAAAGATATCGATCCCACAGGGACTCGTAATCAAGCTAGTATTTTTGGGTGTTACTGTGTTTAGCTAGGTTGGTAATGTTTTAGGGGAATAAAAGCAAAATAAGTGCGTAAACTATAGGGGAACTAAAATGTTACTTAAGGTATAAATGCTTGAATCGGTATGCAATATGTTGGTTCTTCAAGGATTCGACAAGTTTCCGGTGTTTTTGGTGTTTTTAAAAATAGTTTAAGAAGAAAATGACGATTTAAAGACCTTTGTCTCACTAAGGTTGTTGACGCTAGTCGCAACTCTAAGGCAGAACGTATGTTGTCGCTATCCCGTTCGCGGTAAAAATTACTTTTTGAAAACCATTAAGCTCTAATCCTTTTTAAAGCGATGTCGCTGTTTTTAAAATGAATGCTTAGTTTTTACTATCTGGACTTAACCTCAGCTGTCGCTTGTTGGTTCGTACCTTTATGAATTTTCCACTGTCGTGGCAAAACTGCTTTGAAATAAGTTCTCGCTGTCGCGACGAACATTTATTTTAGAAAAATTGATTTAAAAACTGAAGCCATAAATAAGTTTTGAAAAGGAAAGTATACACCGGTTAATTATCAAATCCCATCTGACCACTTATTACATACCGATTACTTAAATTTAGCCGGACATGGAATGTAAATTAAGAACACGTAAATAATGGCAGAAAATATAAATATGCATTATAATGGGAAATAGAAATCAATTAACGATTAAAATAAGAACCTGTAAACAATTCGATTGGCTTTTGGGAAATCCTCCAAAATGACGGCAGGATTTAGTCTTTATGCCAATTACTCGTACAAAATAAAATTTGGAAAGTAAAACAACAATTGCAAGGAAAGAAAGAAAAAGGAAACAATAAACGATAAGAAACTGAGAAACTAAAAATTGCTCTGAAAGTAAATTGGCAACACTTCGTGTCTTCAATGCAGCTCCCCTTTTCTGGTACCAGCTCCCTCCTTTTATAGATGGAATTTCCAACGGTTAATTTCCTCAGGAAGTGGGATTGATCTCAGAAAATATAGGAGTTAGTGGTCCACTCCTTTTTGGCATTTTCAAGCACTTCACAGCACGTGCAACATTTCTGCATTTTAATTGCATGACGGTCGTAACATCAGCAGAACTCGTTTTTGCTGTTTTTGGCCTGTTTTTCATCTGGTTTTCATCTGTAATTGCTTGTTTTCTTCATCTTGCTCCATTTGAGCATGGACTTTGAATACCTGCAAAATACTGGACAAATAATGTGGAAATATCTGAAATCAGAGTGAAAACGGTCACTGATTAGTAAAAATGCACGTCCTTATATATATACGATTTCGCGTTATCAAACTCCCCTAAACTTGAACCTTTGCTTGTCCTCAAGTAAAGGTAGAAAAAAATTTAAAGTTTGGCAAGCACGCGGCACGCTCTTCCTTCGATAAGATTTCTCAGACGTCGAGTTAGGAAAAACCGGAGGTCCAATGGAAACAAAACATATACGGCAATGACACTGGATTGTAAGTCTTCAAAGGCCTCTCTTTTATGCAAGCCAGTCCCAATCATGTTACTGCAGCTCGGCTTCAAGTTTCTCGCAACAAATTTTACCCGGTTTTGTCTGGCGCAATCACATTAAGCCCGTTGTCCATACACGTTCATGGCAAGCAAACCTGTTGGTGACTATGATCTCTTTGCTAGTTTGATTTTTCTTTGCACATATGCTCATTCTGCTATAAATCTGCAAGAGTTTCGTACCGTTGGGCTAAATGCTCGGGCGAGGAGCACCTAACTTAGAAGGAACATGTCTCTATATTCAGGCTATATGACTTTTCTCTTTTTCATGATTATTCATTTCATACTAGAGATCACACACTTATTTGCATCGGTTTCTTACTTAGAAGTGTTTAGGATGGTGCTGACTGCTCGTATAAACTACTGGGGGCTCCGTTTGAGTCGAAACTTGAGGCTTTGGTACGAGTAAGTAGTGAGAATGACTCGCATAAACCAGAGGTCTAAGGTGTCAGGGCGGTAGTGGCTTTGTTAAAATTTTCTTCTCGGGAATTCCAAACTTGGTGAAGTTTAGGCGTGTCACGTGATGCTTTGGAGAGGATAAAAGTTTCTTTGTATATGTCGGATAAAGCGCGGGGAGTTCACGTAACGAAGGGATATATATATATATATATATATATATATATATATATATATATATATATATATATATATATATATATATATATATATATATATATATATACATATATATATATATATATATATATATATATATATATATATACATATATATATATATATATATATACATATATATATATATATATATATATAAGAGCTTTATTTGCCGAAATTAAAAATGCTTTAAATTGAAAATTTGAATGAAAAGTACAATCGGAAATAGGAAATAACAGGGAGAAGGGAAATAACGGTCTGCTCCCACACTATCTCAATTAGTGTCCTCACTGATTTGAAAGAATGCGGAAGGGAAAAATACAAAGGAAAGAAAAACAAAAAGACAAGAAATGAAAAATACTACTAGTCCCTTCCTCTTCCTCGATCTCTACCTCTACCTCTGGCTCTGTCGTCGCGTGCCTCGAGGTTTAAAGCTCCAGTGTGGAAGATGTACTCGCGGAGGCCGTCGACTCGCACAGTGAGGTTGGCTATGTCATCGACCAGGCCGGATTGGACGTCTTGGATCTGCTGCATAGATGTCCTCATGTGACTGGTTTGTTCTCTCTGACACGCTTCGAATTGTTCAGCCTGTCGGTTCTGCTGTTCCATCATAAGCATCATCTGATTCTGCTGTTCGATGCAGCAGAGGAGAGTAGCGAATGTGTCATCAGTGTCAGGATGGCGGCGGCGGCGGCGCGAGGAAGGGCCTTCGGCAGCAGTTGCTTGTGATGGCTCAGCCTGGTTGGCTTTGTCTAACTCCTCTTGAACTTCATCCCTGGGCTCTTGGGCATTATCCTGAGTTGGGGCAGCAGGAGCATTCAGATCGAAAAGCCAGTTGGCTCTGTCCTACGGATGCATTCGGGTGCGAGAAGGCATGATAATGCTCTGGATAGTGCGACCTCGCACTACCGGATGATATTTTCCATCTACGTGGGATTTTATTAGGTGAGAGGCGCGGCAGTGTTCAGTGTCTAGGAAGACAGGGGGCATCTGGCGAAGGGTCTGGAGGCGGTCGCCAAGACCGAGGCCTAAGGAAATAGATGTGATGATGCCACCAAAATAGAATGGTTTTGAGTCGCGGTTGCAATTGGCTTGAATGTGAGCCAAGAGGAATGAGGCGGCGTTAACAGGTTCTGAAGCGAACACGCAACGGAGATAAAACAACTCCTTCGAGTTGACCTTGTGGTTACTGTCACGAGCGAAGATGGTGTTTCTCAACACGCGATGAAAGTAGCGGATTGTTGGGTTGTGGATGTGAGTGGCATTTAGAGTTTCCCAACTTTCTGCTGTGGTGCCGGTCAGTTGGTTCCATAGAGGGAAAGCTTCTTGGTAGAACTGATCGGAGGGGCGGCGATGAGCATCGTCGTCGTGAGGAAACTGTAACATGACGGCGATGCGGTCTTGGGGGACTTGATATGTGGTGCCGAACAAGCGGAAGCAAGCGGCGCCGGTGAGCTGGTTGGTATCGCCGGGTGAAGTCACGTACGCGAAGGAACTGAGAAACTCCAGTGTGAGTTGCTCGTAGGTGGGTTGAGGGTTGGTGCAGAGATGCTAGATGCCAGCCCTCTGTAGCATCTAAGTGACGCCATCCAGAATTCCCAGTTCTGTCAAAGAATCTAGGTGAGCATACCAGGTCGGCTGAAGCGACTGTTGATGGAAAGCT